GTTAGTTTTTAAAACAATCAAATAGCTAAAATTACTGTAAAAATATTTTTCTAAAAGTAATATTTTTCAAGATGTAGAAAATATATTTTTTGTATCATCTATACTATTAAAGCTGAAGTACAAAAATTAAGTGTTTGGAAACATGAGTAAGAAGATTTTAAAAATTTGTTTGGAAACATGGATATCATACAAACCTAATGGGCTTATTTATTAAACTAAAGATTACTGCGGTCCAAAGTACCATTATTATTGTTTTTGGGTTTTCTATCATTGATATTATTTTATTTCTGAAAATTATTTATACATATATGTACTCGTGTTTTAAATTTATTTTAAATAAATCAAAAATAATATATATATTATTTATATTATTTATATATGACTATTGTTATAAGTTTTTAACAGTGATATACTAGCATTCCAATTCTTCATTAAAAATTAACTTAAAAATTTGACTAAATTGTTAAGTATATATAATTTTGCACCAAATTTAGTCAAAAAACTTTATAAACAATTATTAAAATGTTTACGGGTCACAACATTTTACTGACGCCCCAATTACACAATACAGTGATGAAATATAATGTTTAAACAATATACTATTACTTAGTAAAATTGGAACCATAAGATTGCAATTTTTGAAATGTTTATGTATACCATAAAAACAAAGACCCGTCCAGTCGGGCGGGTTATGATCTAGTTAAATTTAAAGCTGCAACACATACATCTAAATAGAAAAAAACTACAAACTAAAATATACAACATTTCTTACAGTTACATTTCAACCAGTCATCACCAATATATAAAATGGGAACAACAGAAATAAAATTATAATTTAACGTCAAAACTGTATATTTATGAAAGATCTAACAAATTTTTTTGCTAATTTAAATATAACAACTATTTTTTAGTTCTATTTAAATACCCATTTGCTAATTTTGTTTATTTATCTATAATATTTTAGTAAGACTGAAATTACGAAGATCCAATAACCCATTAAACACACACACAAAGAAAAAACAGATTTGTCATTTGTAGAATAGCGCAAGTCCAAGCAGATGAATTATGCTTTTCTTGCCTTTCTCGAAGATGTATAGAATTATATATGCTTTTATTTGTCATTTGTAGAATAGCGCAAGTCCTAAGCAGATGAATAGAATTATGCTTTTCTAGCCTTTCTCGAAGATGTATAGAATTATGCTTTTCTTTGTTCGGACCTTGCTAGGGAACACGTAACCCCAAACTTATATATGTATGTTCTGTATGTATATATAGTGAAAGTGCAGGTGAGAATATACATCTTCATATAGTAGGGATCGAACACTTACAAAAGAAAACACATGGCTCCCCGTCCCCGGATAATGTACTTCCGAGATCGACTTCACACGCTGAAAATAAGGGAAATACCTCAGCAGCGAAGGTACATTACATAGGTGTTAGTGATGATTTAAAATTAGTTCTAGTTTCTAATGTTTCTTAAATGTGCTGACTGTAATATTTGCATCGTCTTTTTTTTTTAATTACAAATGAATATGAAAACAGTAAAATGATTAAAATATATGTGAAGATATATGATACAATACATTTTCGTTGTGAACTTTAAAGATAACACGTTTTTCTTCTTTGATATAATTAAGTTGTAGTGTTTTATATAAAAATTATTATGACCCATGTATGTAATTGTTCTAGATCCGTCAAGGCACATGACATCCTTAAAGAATCTCACACACGTCATGTTCTTCAAGAACGTACATGTAATGGTAGAATGGTTTTTTGCAAACTTTGTGGAAATGGTGTTTCTCATGGGTCAATCACTTACTATTGTCGTCTATGTAAATCCTATTTTCACAAAAACTGTCTTACAATAACAAATCCAAAGATTCATGAGCATACACTCACCTACCTTCGAAGAAAACACTCATTCGGTTGTGATGCTTGTGGATTCGTCCGTCCAGATGAGATTGATATGTTCGGATGTTTACAATGCGATTTCTTTGTGCACAGAAGTTGCATCTTCTTACCGAGGGTTATAAAACTCACACGTCACTCACATTATCTTTCTCACGTTTTTCATGTACTTGATGATGAGGCCAAGTGTGGAGTTTGCCAGGGACGGTTTAGTTCTGGCTATGGAGGGTATGCTTGTGTTGACAAGACATGTGATTATGTTGTCCATTCAACATGTGCGACAAATATCAACGTGTGGGACGGCATAGATCATGTCGAAGTAGAACCTGAGGAAGAGAGTAGTTCAGAAGATGCTTCACTAGAATTGATGGATGACAAGAAAGTACATCATTTTAGCCATGACCATGGCTTATCGAGAATCCCTGTTGATGAAGAATGTTGGCAGCTATGTGAAGCATGCATCCTTCCTATTGATATGGGTACTTTCTTGGGTTGCAAGGAATGCAGTTTTGCCCTACACGAAGAATGTGCTCGCCTTCCACAGGAGATGGATCATCCGTTACATCGCCATCGGTTAACCCTAAAGGTCACCAAAGAAGGTTTTTTCACATGTTCTGCTTGTAACCAGGGTTCTTGTGGTTTTAAGTATCAATGTTGCCAAGAAGACTGTGGGTTCAAGATAGATGCAAAGTGTGCTTCCTTTACTGACCCATTTAAGCATAAAACCCACAAATGCCCTCTCTATCTTAGACTGGAAGATCTTGCTAACAGAAAGTCTTACTTGTGTTGTGGTTGCCATGAACATTCAACTACTGTGGCAACTTGTACCACATGTGAAGACTACTCCTTTGATTTCAAATGTTTGAATTTACCTCCTGTGATGAGATATAAGTATGATATACATCCACTCATCCTATACTTTGATAGAATACAGTACAAGATACAACAGCTGGAGAAGAGATGGGACAGTTACTTATTCTTAGATCGGGGAAGAGATAGGCAGCCAAACTCTTGGTGTGACGTTTGTGAAGAAGAAGTACACGAATACTTATTGTTCTACGTATGCTTTATTTGCCGCACCACTCTACATGCTAAGTGCATCTTAGGAAGTTATCCTTATATGAAACCTGGCCATAATATCAAAGTGAAGGGTCTCAAGATTCAGATAGCTTCAAACAGTGGTGCTTCTAGACCAATTTGTCATACATGTCACAGTCTCTGCGGAGACAAGTTGGTATTCAAGGAGAATGATTTATGTTTTTGTTCTTTGAAGTGTATGCATTCTACCAAACTTGTTATTACTTCTGAGTAAATAAAATGTTGTAGTAAAATGCATTGCATGCGGTTGTAATGTGGAATGAAATAAATAATGAACCTCTTAACAAGTTCAAACCTGAAAACGTCAAATTATGAAAATTTCAAAACCTGTAAATTGTATAAACCGCTCAAAAGATTTATGTTTGAGCTTTTTATAGTTAATTTTAAATATTTTTATACAAACTATAATCTATATTCCAAACCTTTTGAATTCTCTATCTTCTTTTTATAAGAAACAACGTTGAAGCAATCCTACATCCATTAGAGTATCTCCAAAAGACATTTTATAACTTCAAATATGAAGTTTTTTGCTTTCCAAAAAGGAATTCTAAAACTTTAAATTTAAAGTTTTGAGTAGTGAAGCTTCAAATAGAGTATGACTATTCAAAATTTCAAATTTAAAGTTTCATATTTTTATTTGTATTTTGATCCTTACAATGTTACATTAAATATACAATTATTAATATAAATACTAAAATACAAAAAATACCACCTTAGGTTTTGTAATATTGTTGTTGTCTAGTTCTAGTTTTAAGATATTTTATATCTTTTCTTAATGTTTTTAATTATGTATAAAATTTAATTTTATAAAAACAATTTTGAAATTTTATGAGATAAGAATTTATAAGGACTAAAACGATATATATAAGAATTAATATTTCTATAATAATTTTTATATATGTATTAGTTATTTGTAAAAGTTTTATGAATTTTAATTAGTTATTAAAAGTATAAGGACCATTGTATAAATTATATATAGTTTTGAAGTTAAACTTGAAGTTTTGCTTATGGAGAAAACAAACCTTCAAATTTTGCAAACTCTAAAATCCCTTATATATTAAAAGAGAAGCATTTTGCATTAAATGTTTTCACACCACCTTCTCACAAATTATTACCTTATTTACTACATTCTCACAATTTATTACCTTATCTACTACATTCTCACAATATATTACCTTATTTACTTCAACAATTCATTACCTTATTTACTTCAATTATAAAACACACGAGATACTTTAAAACTACAAAGTTCAATATCGCGTGAGACAAGTTCGGAGGCAAGTGAATTGGCTTGAGGGTCGATGTCAAAGTTCTGGAACGTCGTTATTTGGGAGGTGGGACGTATCTAAAACGATGGATGTGAAGGGCAACGTACCGGAGCCCATGAACGCGATCTTGGTTTGGACATGGCTCGTGTGTAGCGTGAAGAGATTGAACTCAACCTTGCTGAGTTTGAGGTAGTTAGTGTACTGAGGGTAGGTCTAAATGGTGAAGTGTGTTGTCTTCGAGAGATCCCAAGGCCGTATAGTAGTGGTTCTCTGAAAACTCTATATCTTCACTACGTAGGTTGGTGAGATTGGTTCTGTAGTTTTGGAATTTTGGGCACAAGTTTTTAACGTCGATATTTGTATCCATAGGCACGGACGTGGACATGAGCTATTGAACAAATTGTCGACATATATATGTGAAAGGTTTAAGGCTCTTGAGATTGGAGATTTTGTTATACAAGTCGAGAATTTGCTTCTCGAAATGAGCCTTTTGGCAACCCATCTCGAGACTAGAAGGAGATTTGGGATTGTGTCAATAGTCTTAATGGTGTTCACAGTAATATACTTTCATCTTACGTGTGTCCATGTCGTGTGGATGACAAAAAAAAACAGATATATGTTCCAAAAGTTATACGTATGAAAAAACGTTTAGTGAGGGTATATCTAAATGGTGAAGTGTGTTGTCTTCGAGAGATCCCAAGGCCGTATAGTAGTGGTGCTCTGAAAACTCTATATCTTCACTACGTAGGTTGGTGAGATTGGTTCTGATGTTTTGGACTTTTGGGCACAAGTTTTCAACGTCGATATTTGTATCCATAGGCAAGGACGTGGACATGCGCTATTGAACAAATTGTCGACATATATATGTGAAAGGTTTAAGGCTCTTGAGATTGGAGATTTCGTTATACAAGTCGAGAGTTGCAAAAACGCTACATATTAAAAACGCACGAAATACTTTAATTAGAAAGAATTCACAAGACAACTTATCGAGTTACTTTCTTATGTAGACTGTAGTGTCCATACCGTCATGCTATTTCTTTCCAAGTTTGACAAATCTGAGAATTCATCTTTTGATGTAAGAGCTGAAGAAGTACCAGTTGATAAACTATCATTCCCATCTTTTCCCTGACCCGCTTATATTGAACTTATCAGTCCCGAAAGCTTGATTGCATGGTATAATCCCACCTTCTCTTTCGGGTTATACTGATACTCTGCATGTTGAAGAAAGCCGTAAAATAAAGAAGAATCAACCAAAAATTGTTATTAGTATATACTACTACTTATTTGCATATTCATGTCCATGATTGTACATGGTCCCTAACGATATTCATATTTACGAGAAAGCATGGTCACTAACGATCTTCGTCTTCACAAAGAAACCTATTTGACTTATCTTTACTGGAAATATATAAAATGCAATTTTCTTGTACATAGCATGAACTTCCGAATATGAATTTGATATAGTTTGTTTAAACCGAGAACTCCTTTTTTAATTTGGTTAAACCATTTGGTTTCGACTACTCTGATATTGAATTGACTACTCAGATAGAACCATTGGTTTCGACTACTCTTCTTTGAATTGAAACGGTTAATGTTTTTTTTGGCCGGTTCACAGTATATGAGTGTTTGGCAAGGTCAGAACTGGAAATTATAGAACGATACATTAGATCAACATCATAACTGAAACGGTTAATTTGATACAGTTCTTTGAACGATACATTAGATCAACATCAGAACTGTATAAAGTCATATAATATGGAACCAAACAAATAATAAAATTTATGTTTTATCACCAAAAACGAAATATGCGAGAAGGCTTATCATAACTAAATCTAATAAATAATGGATTTCGATGATAGTTATATTTTAATAGACTAAAAACAAAAAAACAACATAAAATCAAACTGATATACAAATTAAACATACCTAATATTTTCTTATTTAAAAAATAACTAAATTAACTATCTCATCCTGCACAAGGTGCAGGTTATTCATAGAACCTGAGCTTTTTTAGATAACAAAACCATTAACTCCATCATTCTTGCAAATCAATAGTAGAGAAGAGTAAATAAGTGTGTTTTATTTGGTTAAAAATATTTAATGAAATATTGTTTAATGAATTAATTATTTATATTGTACAAAAAATTTGATTTGATATAAGATGACACTAAATAATTAATTTTAGTCATTGTGTTATCACCATAAAATCATAATCGCAATTTAAAAAAAAAAACAATATTTAAAATATAGATATATAATTAAACGATATTAAAAACCGAAACAACCAATCCAAAACAAACTATTATCCAAATAAAACAGATTTAATGTTTTCTTATTTTCAAAAATACAACAAATTCAATTATCTCATCCCGCGCAAGGCGCGGGTCTAATCCTAGTAGAGAATATTTTTGAAGATACTCTTACACAAGTGAGACCCCTTCTCATGGCCACGTATGGTTAAATTATTATAAGAATATACAAAAAAAGAACAACAAATAAGAAACTATGAAAGACCAAACATACAAGTTGTGCTACCATACTCTTTCAACTCTCTCTCTCTCTCAAAATCGTCATTCTCTTTTTAAAACAAATTTGGATTTCGGTGAAAGATCCCCTATATATTAAAGAAGAACCATTTGTAATTAATGTGTTCACACTATATTTTTTGAATATGCTTATGTGTCGTCTTCACAACCGTTTAACATTTAATGTGTTCATACACTACCCTTTTAACTACACCGTAGACAATTCAATTTGTTCACGTTCTTTGTACAAATTGAAATAAACTAAAATTCTGTTTGTACAACTACTGAACCCATTAATTGAAATTAATAGTGAAATGAAATTAATTAAAATTCATTCACTATTTAACATTTGTAATAGTGAATTGGAATTAATTAAAATTCTCTTTGTACAACTACTCAATAATATCATTTTAAAAGAAATAACTAAAAAAACATTAAGATTCGCATCAACTAAAATGCTGAAATGAGATTGTTCTTAGAAATTGAAAGTTTCATATTTTGTCGAACTTGACCATAGTTGAGGTTTATGTTTACAGTAGCAATAAATAATTGTGATTGGTTATGAATTAAGGAAACTGAAGTAATAAATACTACACACGAAGTCGATATTTAGTTTAGCCAAGTATTGATTTTCTTTACGAAATTTGCATATCATATCAAGAATTAGAAACATGATCAGATTACTAGAAAAAATCAAAAATCAGAAAAGTTTTAAAAGGAAATAAAATTCGTGATATCGACTGAAAACAAAATTCAGGTGCTGAGTGAAGATATTACATTATTTTTCACACAATTCTAGTCACTTTCGCTCGATTATATAGTGTTTTTACTAAAGTTTTCAAAAAAAAAATTATAAGAAAATACACGTTACTGGTTATAACATACGTCAATTTTGCAATATGCTCAACAATATTGACACGACGTCCAACCATTTTTATTATTCTTAAAGTATAGTCTAATGATTTTGAATGTTAAATAAGCCAAGAATATTTGTTTTACATTTATTTTGCTTTGTATTAGTAGAAAAAAGCAAGTAGGGATAAATATTTTGATCCGATGAATCGAACCGAACTAGATTTGAAAAAAATATTAAACACAAAATTAAAACTAATTAAATAATCGGATGGATCTAAAAATTTAATATCCAGATAACCAGACTCGAATCTAATACAAACAAACTATTTTGGATACCAAAATATCTATTAGATACTCAAAAATTAGATATTCAAAATATGAAAATATCTAAAATTTATCAACATAATCACAAGTAAATATCTAAAAATAACAGTAAATGTTCAAAATATTGATAATATTTATTTCTTCTCATCCAAATATTTAAATTGAACTAATTTTATGCAAATTTAAATTTGTAGTCCTATTTTATTGAAATTTTTATGTTTTATATTATTTTCTTTTTGGAATTTAAGGTCTTAAGTATACTTGATTTTTTTTTGAAAATACATAATTAAAAAGGACATCCGGATTCGAATCAAAATTTAGAAATATTCGAATAATATTTAAATTACTAA